TATGTTGCTCATTATATTCCATAAATGAGTGAGATCATGTGATATTTATCTTTCTCTGACTGGCTTATTTCACTTAGCATAATGCTTTCCAGTTAGTTCACTGTCAACATTTAGGTAGATGTTCATTTCTAAATGCATTATCTGTAGATCCCCACCCTCTGTCACCCTACTCACTTCCAAAAGAAATAGTACAAATTCTGAATTGTTTACTGTTTTCAATTCTTACAAATAAATGGGAAATCAAGTATGACAAAATTAAAATTGCTATTGTCAATGTATACTTTTCTCAGCACCCTATAAACAACTGAAGTTTATTGCAATAAATGTAATTTTAGTTTTCTTACAGAATTATGAGCTATATATTTTATAAGATTAGAGCCAATGTAATAAAGTTGATAGATATTTCAAAATAGAAATAACCCTCAGTACCAAATTTAGTCTCACGTTTAGATGGAGGAAACTTTTGCTAAGTGTGTTAGATAGGTTATGTTGTGGTAATTAACCCCCCCATAAACACACACACACACACACACACACACACACACACACACAAACACACATTACAGAGGCCTAGAAGTACTGATTATTTTCTCTCTAATCATATACTAACTGAAAATGTTTCTTATCCTCCTTCATTTCAGAAAGAATATTATGAATATATAATCTACGTAGGCAACCAAGCATACCAGTTTGATAGGACACAGGCATTTCAATGCTAAAAGTGTAAAGTCCAGGCAAACAGTTGAGGTAGTCACCCTAAATTCACTCTAATATAAGTGAACCCATTTTACATAAAGAGCTATTTTTCTATTTCATGAATAAAGTTTGAAACTTAATAAATGCTCAAATCTGTTTTCAGACATCCACAGATTTTTGAACAAATGTTTGTTCCTTATTCCATGAATTCAGTGGGAGGTAGTATTAAAAATTCTAAGTATTAATCTGGGGAGATTAATAATAGCTAACTGAGTGTTTTCATATAAACTTTTTAACACCCCAATGGGTACAAATAAAATTGATGGAGAAAAATTAATATTACCCTGTCACCTGAGGTCATTGTGGAATTTTTGGCATCTTAATGATAGAGAGGACCATTTATTCTACTGGAAATTCATTTCACTGTAAAATAACTGAATTCCACAAAAAAATTCCAGTCCTGCCATACAATTGATTCTGAGTCATTAAATTTTCTATTTAAGATTATGAGAAATAAGAAAATAGTGTTTTAATAGTCAGTGAATAGTATATTAGTTACCATGTCTACTTAAATTCTGGATGACTACTTTTTACTCATTAGCAATATTTTTGGAATCCATATCCAGAAAGAATTTGATTTATTGAAAATCATTTTTTAAATAAAGTAGCAGTATTCAGAGGGGAAAAAATTGGATTTGTGGTCAATTTAACAAATGATTTTCTGCATAAATATCACTACATGATTATCAGTGGTTTAACATCCATTTATCTCTTAGGAATATTGTCTGGAAATATGATCCTCTCAATAAACTAGAATGAGTCCACCAAAATAAAACTAATCAGTAAGAAGAGTTATGCTATATTTTCATGAGTTCTCTTTTTTGTTGTCTGCTAGAAAACTTGGAGCTATTTAGAAATGACGTTTTATTTTACTTGTTCAAAACTCTCTATTCTAACATATCACTATTTTACTTTACTCATGTTCTATTAACCTGCTTTAAAGGTTATATTGTACATCAAAGCTATTGTTTCTGTGGAATGTGCATATGTGTATTAATTCAACATAAACACACAAGTCATGAATGAGAGTTCAGATTCAGAAATAGACCTGCATTTGAATTACATAACCTCTCTATATTCTCTCATAAAATAAATTATTCCTAGCACACACTTTGTTAATTCAATGGCAATTTATTGGTGTTACAGTTATTTATGAATGGTAATAAGAGCTCTAATTTTCCATCCCAAATATCCACCTATAAATCCAAACTTTGTCTAAAGTCATATCTTCAGTGTCCTCATTCAGGATGGAGGGGTCTAATAACAGATAAATGGTTCTGACTTTCCTTGAAACCGATTTTGAGGGACTGTTTTTTATTCATAAAAAGCCAGAGCCCTATTTTGTCTCCCAGTGATATTAATAATAACAGCATGAGCACCACAGCACCTCTGAGAGCAGGGACCCACATTATTCCCGTTATTTTGCTTGGCAATGTCTTTATTAAGCGGCATCTACTCCTTACTGGTCATTATCCCCAAAAGTTACTACAGAAGATGTGGAGTCTTATTTTCAATGGATTCCTCATTCCTGAATACGCCAGATAGCAATGAGGGTTGTATATCTTTAGTGCAGCTCTCTCTGATTTTCTTAGTTGAAGAAAACACACCCACACACACACAGAGCAAAACAAAAACTTAAGAGATGACTTTTAAGCTAAGGTTTTTCAGGTTTTTCTTCTTGATTTGGTTTAAGATGCAGAGATGAGTCTACATAATATGCTACTTTGTTAAGTTTATTTTGTGCAGCCATAGATTCAAATATATTATGCCTTTATATTTTTAGGTCAATGATGAACATAAGTCCAATAAGACACATGTTCAATGACAGTGAAGATTAGTTGATGCCATCTGAAGCATCAAAATTCTAAGTCTTAGTATAAAATTATGGGTTAAAAATTTTGGTGATCTCGAGACTTAGAAATGTTTGATAGAATTGTACTCTCTTGGCAGTTATTCAATATAATTAAATGATTATTTTTTCTGATTATTTCTAATATTTAGTATTGATTCCAGTTAGCTATATAGTAATCAGATATAATTTAAGATTCATACTTTGTCTATCCATTAAGAAATTGTATTGTGAATTAAAAGAGAAGGTTGATGTAACTTAAAACAATTAGAAGAAAGTTTAATTTTTTGGTAATTGGATTAAAGGAAATGTCAGATGTTAGTGATTCCTTGTGCCCCATTACTCAGCTGTGCTTCCTACGGCCAAATTTGTGGAGAATTTGCTCATTGGAAAATCAGAGAAGTAGAAATAATTTTAAGATATGCTCTAAACAGAATATAAAGCCTTAGTCTGTCTCCAGAGCTTACACTAAGTTTATTGGTTTATTACATCCTAAGACCTCAGTATAGTGCTGTGTATTAAAAATAATTATGGCTTGAGAGTAACTTTAAATTGCTTATATTTAATTAATTTCAATGTGGATAAAAACAGTTATGAATTCTGTCTTTGAAAATGCTAGAGATTGCCATAGATAGATTATCTTATTAGGGAATAAACCCTGATTACATTAAAATGTTTTCAAATGATTTAAATTTAAAAGCCAAAAAATTCAAATAGTACCTTGACATTTCATTGTGATAATCCTATTGGGTCATATGTGTTCTAAGTAGTGTGTCTGTTAATGTTTACCACAATTACATTTGATTTAAAAAATTGTAGCCCAGCAGATGGAAGTTTGTAGACTATAGTTGTAGACTGAGGAGTGAGTCAAATCCAAAACAAATATTACATAGGCACTTTAAATAGGAACATGATGAAATATGGTACAGAAAGAGAAGTTAAAAGAACAGGAGAAACACACAAAACATGTGTTAAAAGGTGTGTCCTATAAAGACTTATAAATTGCAAGTTTTAGAAATTAGCTGTGTATTTTACAAGCCAAAATATATATGGAAACATTTCAGTAAGATATGTATCATTTTTCATTACTTTCTTTTCCTAGTATATATGCACCCAGGATGTGCAAGAAATCCATGTTGGTTTCTGAAGAATGTTCGCTTAATCCTTCTGTACCCTTGCTACGGTGGATCCATCAGCCATGATATTTGCCAAACTATAGTTCCTCATTCTCTTAAATTTAAATATGTGTCGCAATTGGGATTTACAGGTAATCAAATAATTTGTTTATTTTTAAATTGTCTGAATCAATTCAACATTTGCTGGGTTAAGTATTCATTTTCTAATCACACAAAGTATTTTATATCTCAAAACACAAAAGAAATAAAAAATGAATTTAATATTCTTATTTTTTTATTTGTTCCCTTAGTGGACATATGCAATTTCTGGAATTCTGGTTGACTAATGGAGAGGCAAAAGTAGGTTTGCAGTTATTCATATGGAAAATAATACAATAATTAATAAATAATAATACAAGAATAAACTCTGTTTTGTGTACTCACAACTATAAACCTACTTTGGCTCCACCCTGTATAATTGTGAAGAAAACTAGAACTATTTCCTATTCTCATAGATCTCACTATTATTTTGGTGAGTTATTGGGCAAATACAGTGATAAACGTTTGATTGTAAAATGAAGTAAAGGCTCCTACAGAAAGAAATATTTTCCCATGACTACTTATAACTAAAGAAACTATTTTTAGGGAAAAAAGAAAAGAAAATATGAGCAATTGGGAGAGTAAGTTGGGAGGTCAGATAAGGTTTCCATGATAAAATGACCATGGCACAGAGATATGGAGAATGAGACCAGAGTTGAGAATTTGGAGAATTGAAGAAATTATGCTTAAAACAAACATAAACAGAAACTATGTTTAAAAGATATAATCTTTTGGTTATGCAAGAAATATAAGTTTTGGAAATCTGTACAACATAGGACTATGATTAATATTTTTAAATTGGCTAAAATGATAGATCTTAAGTTAAATGTTCTTGTCAGACTATACTATGTAATATTTTTAAATGGGCTAAAATGATAGATCTTAAGTTAAATGTTCTTGTCACAAAAATTAAAAAATGAAAATGAACAAAATAAACAAAGGGGTGGGAAAATTTTTTCAGAGGTGATGGATAAGTTTTTGATATTGATTGTGATTATTGTTTCATGGGTATATACTTATCTCCAAACATATCAAGTTGTATATATTCAGCATCTATAACTTTCTGTATGTCAATCATATCTCCAATAAAGCAGGTAGAAAAAAAAACAAAACACAAAAACACCACAACCAGAAAACAAAAATACAAAATTAGAAGAGATAAATCCTTTGAAGGCCTGGCTGGAACTCTGAGAACAAGAGTGAAAATAAGGCTTGGGGAGAGAAATATTTTAATGCTAGAATTAAAATATTGGCTTAAAATATTCATACTTTTATTCTAAAAGAAATATGAAATCATTGGAAAGTTTGACACATTTAATAAGAAAGATCAAGTGGAGAAATAGATTAGGGTAAAAACAGTAGAGTGTGATAATCATAGCTAAAATAATTAGAAGTTCTTGTTTATGAATTGTATACAGAGAGCAAATGGTAGAGATATCAACAGAAATTCTAGTTTTATGGCTTTAACACTTGAAATGAAATAAGTCTAACACATTTTATTAAATATGCTTTTAATTGTTTTACATACTGCAGGTTCCTATTTCAAAACCTATAATGATGAGCATACTTTTCTGTTCTTTGATTACACTTTGAATACTACTTGACTTAGCTTATGCAAATTAATCCACATTCTGAAAACTGTTTGATAGTCCAATTAATTCTATCAAGGAATATTTCTTCTGACAATGATATTTTGGAATTATAATTTATCAACAATCAGCAAATTAGATTTGTTATGTCTGTTCTCAAATAATGGCTTACTGTATTCAACTGGCAGCAGCTGCACTTATAATACTACTATAACATTAAAACAAAGTAGAAGTAAACTAACAATTAGTCTTTTAAACAGAAAACATGATAATTTATTTCATCATGTTCCTAATATGCTATTCTGGAGAGTTAACAACTCCTAATGACAGAAATAGTTATCGGTTCATTAAGTAAATCACTCTAAAGATCAAACATGGTAGTAGATTGCAATGGCTTCTTGATTAGATTGTTAATGATAAAAAGAACTTTAGAGACTGCGTTATAAATACTTGCTGTTTCACAAAGTACACAAACAAAACAAAGAACAACAACTGTGTATAGAGAAGTTACCTAAAACATCTGGTCTCGGCACTATTTAAGGATTGTGTTAGCTCAAAGGTTTAAACTTGTCCACATATTACAGTCACTTGAGGTGGCTTTAAATGATACTTATAGTTCTGCTTCCACTACAGAACAAACAAATTGGCATTGTAGTGAGGTGGACATAGGAGATCTGTGCAGCCTCCCCAAATGCTTTTAATGTTGCAGATTGAGAAGCATAATCTATTGTTACCAGCCAAATCAGTTCATGGACTTCAGTGCCAACATCATTTTTATGCTTGATTTCCCTTTGTCTCCATGTAGGAATGATGCACGCATACATTTACTTAATAATAAACATTGAAATTCTTTGAGAACTAAAAATTACTAAAGATAATATTCACAACAATAAAATAGCAAACATTTTAAGGAAAACAGTAATAAATAGGAAAATTGCTCATTGGTAAAATTATCTTTAAGCAAATAGAATCAATTTTATAAATGAGTAGGACAACATATATTTTCTAGGACATAGGGATAATATGAAGTCAAAATTGTTCATGGATAAATCAGCTTTGAGCAATTATCATCAAAGTAATATAAGCATATTTAATTATAACTTCATGAATCTATGTTCAAACCTTAATCAACATAGGTAATTATTACTAAACTAGAGGCCCCGGTGCATGAAATTCGTGCACTCGTGGGGGGCTCCTGCCACTGCCACTGAGCTTGCCAGCCATAAGCCTGGCTTCTGGCTGAGCAGTGCTCCCCCTGTGGGAGCACACTGACCACGAGGGGGCAGCTCCTGCATTGAGCATCTGCCTCTTGGTGGTCAGTGTGTGTCATAGCGACTGGTTGTTACGCCGTCAGGCCAAAACTGGCTCTCCGACATCCCCCGAGTGGTCCCAGATTGTGAGAGGGTGCAGGCCAGGCCCGAGGGACCCCACCAGTGCATGATCAGGGCCAGGGAGGGATATGGGAAGTTGGCCAGCCAGGGAGGGACCCCAGGAGGGCTCCAGGCTGTCCGGCCCATCTAGTTCAGTCCTGATCAGCCAGACCCCAACAGCAAGCTAGCCTACCTGTCGGAGCGTCTGCCAACTGGTGGTCAGTGCTGTCATAGTGACTGGTCGACCAATTGACTGGCTGCCCCCTGGTGGTCAGTGCACATCATAGCGAGCAGTTGAGTGGCCTTAGCATATGATTAGCATATTATGCTTTGATTGGTTGAACGCCCAACTGGACGATTGGACACTTAGCATATCAGCCTTTTATTATATAGGATACAAATTATGTGACCTCCATATCTGATATTTTTAAATGACTTTGGCTGTCCAAGCGAAAGAATTCAGTGTGATACAGCTCAATTGTCAACAAATATTTAAGTAGCGGCACAAAAATTATTTGTTATGGTTAGTACAAAGTTTAAACAATGCAACTACTTTTGGTAGTGTTTTCAAAAACAGATTTTAGAATAAGTGCAAAAAAAAGGAAAAAAGAATGTAAATAGAATGACACGTTTTATGTAATTCTCATTTATTTTCTAGTTGTTGCTATTAAGATCTTATTTCCTATTATTCCATAAAATAATATTGAAGAAAAACATTAAAATCAAGCTGGCAAGTTTGCATAGGGTGCATTAATTTTACCAACAGTAAAATTATTTTAATTAAGAGAATTGTCTACCAACTGAATGAAGTGCCTTACACGCCCAATCAATTCTTGCCAATATGATTGCTCTACAAATAAGGATAGTAATTAATTAGGAGAAGCCCCTTCAAGGACAACTGGTCTATGATGCACAACTTGAGAAAGAGCTGACATGCACTGTTTCTTTTCAATGTCATCATCTGTGTTCATTATATGTGTTATTAGGTTGGAGAAAAGATGATACTGACAGAGTGGATAATGGGTTGTGAAGTGAAATAAAAAAGCATGAATTATAGTTAAGAAAAGATAAAGTCATAGCAAAAAGGAGATAAGTTCTCTTTTTATACTTTCCTTTTGTTTAAAGCTTGTGAACATTACAGTTTAGGTGACTAAATTAAACATATACATTTAAAATATTTAATATGTGCTAGTGAACATCTTTTTGAAATGAATAGTGATGGCTGCATTTGTGAATTGCATTGTAAACCAATATTACTTTTAATTCTTTATTTTTCTTTATGAAATGGTGGTTATTACTTGTGCTAGAAGATAGTATAAGATATTAATTATAATATATTCATTATAAATTACTTTTGTTATAATTATTGAGAGAGTAAAACATCAATAATTTCCTTAAAAGTATTTTTATTACTATACTGCTTCACTTGCAAGTCTTTTTTTGTTGTTGTTAAATACCTGCTATTATTTTATACCCATTTAGGGTTATAGAGCCTAACATCAAGATTTAAAAAAAAATTAGTTTAGAAGAAAAGTTTTAAAATGTGGTTTAGTATATTTACATATATAACATGTAATATTTTCAAAACATTTTCACAGTAACAATTATGTTTATTAATATATACATGAAAATAAATGGCTTTTATGTAAATAAGAAATAATTAAATGGCATAATGGAGGAAAAACATGTCATGTACACAGCAGTTTCAATATTTAAATGCATAGGACTTAAATTAACAAAGATTGTAAATTCAAAATTGAGAAAACTTTAAATATTGCCATAGTATATTTACAAACACAAAAAAGCTGAAAAAATTTTTACAGATAAACCATGCTTTTAGAGAGGAGACCTAATATATTAAAATGTTCTATATATATATATGTATAATAGAGGCCTGGTGCACAAAGATTTGTGCACTCGGGGGTTCCTCAGCCCGGCCTGTGCCCTCTCGCAGTCTGGGACCCCTCAGGGGATGTCCACCTGCTGGCTTAGGCCCGCTCCCCGAGGGATTGGGCCTAAGCGGGCAGTCAGACATCCCTCTGGCAGCCCAGGAGCCCTCGGGGGATGTCCACTTGCCAGCGGGGAGCAGGTCTA